ATGTTCGTGGTCAAGCCGAATCGAGCCGAGTCGAGTAACACCGTATCTTTAACACAGTCCAAACTCGTATGGAACTTCGTCGACTATGTTGAGCTTAACTGCTGTTAGTTGCAGCAAGAGACCGTTTTCGCAAATCAAAGACGACAAGACGCCATGAGGTGTAGCTTCTAGAGTACTAGTGCCATCGTCGACAGAGAAGGGCACTTTCAGCTCAAGCAACTCTTAGACCGATTCAGCATATATGTACATACAACAATCGAGGACACATTCGAGACAGCACAAACGAAAGCCTTGAAGAACGCAGGAAAACAAACTGTGTATACCGTAGACGGTCAGCCTGGCAGCATTACTCTCCCTGGTACCGACCATGTTCCGGGCGACGCATGTGTAAAAACCGGAATCGCTCAGCTGAACGCCGGAGATGATCAGGTTACCAGACGGATGAATGGTGCGTCTGGAGTCACCGTCGAGTTTCAGTTCACGTCCATCCTACAGAAAAACAGGACACAATGAAAAAAACGATGCTTTTCTTCTCGAGGCCGAATTCAACCTTCTTCCATGAAACGACAGCTTCCGGGTAGCCTTTTGGAGGACTACACTCGAGGATCGCCTGTGAACCGGCGACGTACGCAACACTTTTCGGTTTTATCCGAAATTCCTCCTTCAGCATCGCTATTTTCAAAGTGGCGTTGTTACTGCGCGCCTCACCTTTGGCATTGCGAGCGACGCACCAATAGGTTCCGGAATCCGGTTTCTGATTCTTGCCTGAAATGTAAAGAACTGATACAAGGGAACCCGCGATGCATCGCTGCGGCGTTACCTTGATGAACTCTCAAAAAGAACAATGAACCGGACGTCAACAGCATCCTGCTCTCTTCGTTAGGCGTGCTGAGCAGCTCTCCGTCCTTGTACCAGATGATCTGAGGCTGAAAGCAAGACCCGTTAAGCAACTGCCGGTACAATAAAGCAAAGCTTAAGAATACCTGCGGATTTCCTGAAGCTTTACAGTTTAGCGTCACCGGCTCCCCCTTCGGAATTATAGTATCCAACGGATGTTCTTCGATCTGAGGAAAACCGGGCGATAGACTGCTGTGCGTTTCAGAACCATAACCTACAAGTAATCGATTGAACAAGTGTGATGCACAGGATGTGCATCGTACGTAACGAATACCCATTTACTCTCGCTACACATGTAAACATGCACAGAACTCAATTCAGTCGATCCCTATTCCAGGTCGCCGAGTAGAGTGATCACTTCCTCATTTCACCGCTTATCTTATTAATTTCATGTTTTGCAAGATATCGCAGGGTATGTTGTACCGCTTACGCTGAAACACTATGCAGCAAGAGTTCGCTGAGGCGAGAGGTTTCGAAAGTGGCATAATTCAACACATAGCATATAACTAAATTCCAATCGTGCTGCCTGCTCTACTAGCTTCAGTAAAATAACAGAGATCATCGGATTTTTCGCCTAATGTTGAATATTTATAGCCTCATTCTGTCCGCACGATCCGGATCGTGTCAAAGTACTTAGCTGAGCGGCTGTTGTCGGTTGTTGCTACTTTCAACTTGATCTTCGGTAAACTTCAGCTTCGTATATCAATCGTTCCTTGCATTCGATGTGCCTATACCCTTAGCTGCCTGGAAAACTCATCACAACCTAGCTTCTGCCAATAAAATTAGCACTGAAAATTTGTGCATTTGCACATGTATACAAGTCGAGATTTCAGACGTAGCCAAAAGGTCGTCATGGCAAATATAAGCGATATGCAGGCTGCAAGCTGCCTTATACATATAAAATACATCGATTTCATGTGACTGACTGGCTGACACCAGATCTTGACCATCATGTTCATAACTTAGCACTTTAACGTTCGTGACAACAGGAAAGAGTTTTAACTTATCACAACAGACGAGTATTCATTGCACTTACAAGGATGCCTTATCGTCAAAATACACTGAATGACCATTTGTTCACTGATCCTTATCGATTACAGCAACGTTCGTTTGACTGACTGAGTGTTCCTCGGAAAGAGCGTGCTGTGCAATACCGGAGTAATTCGCCTGTCGAAGGCGACCACAAATAGGGGCTATTTTACAGAGATATTCAATTTTCGGTAAGTTTTCCAATGCATATCTTATAGCAGTTTCAGTCCGCAGACCATACACATATATCGGGGTATATTTCCTGAATAAAATCATTCATGGTCGACGTGTACTACCTGGTATTCGACTCAGGACAGTGAAAGACATTTTGCATTAAGCATACACTGAAGGTGTTATAATACGACGGAAACGTTGGCCGTTGGCAAGCTTAAACGATCGGTTAGGTAATTAGATGCATGTAGAACATGACAAAATTACGAAGACCAAATATGGACGAGCATTTGTCTGTGTTCACGACGACGGCTGAAGAGATCGCAGGCGATCCGCGATGTTGCTCATTCACCTTCATGACTAAGCATTCGATCATCATAGCTTTTAATGCTTGTCCTACAGAAACAAAGCAAAAATTATTGATTAACACTTCTTTTAAATGAACAGCTTCCCCGTCGTCTTATTTCGATTCCCACGTTCGTCAGCTTAGTGCAAGTTTCGCTACACGTTCCCATGTCTCAGTTTTTCAGTTGTTTTCAGTTTGTCATCTCCAGCTGATCAATGGCATAACCTTCTACGACATCCAAAAATCAAATAGATCGAACTCATCATCTACCTGAACCGAAGTTTTACAAGTAGGAGCTTGCAGCTCCGTGGATACCGTTCTGAAGTCCGTTCCGTGTATCATTTCAGTCGTGCAACGCAGTCCGAAGTAGTCGAATATGAGCGGCACGCAATGATTTAAGTACATTTTTGCTTATGCTTTGCACTCGATACATGATAGTTGTTTTGGCTGCTATGCACGCCAATTACGCGTACTGATGACAAAATGCCAGTTTATCCTTCAGTCGTGCAGAATAAGGTTCAAGGAGACAGTGAGGTTTGGTGTCCAGTCCCGGAATTTTCATCGGTCATCTAAGATACAACTACCCCTTATTCGATGGTGATTCTTCTCCTTATCTCGAGGAGGGCATGCGAAAGGTTTAACAATTAACAAGCAAGCAATGACCAGGCGACATAAACGTTCCAATTTTGTAACCGAGTTGGCGTTTAAAACTTTCAACAGATGTTGCTTAGTGGCGAATGCATGGAGTGTGCGATGAGTTTCCTGATCAACCAGTCACAGACAAACTCGAACGCGCCAGCGTACCTCACTCAAGAAATTCGTAATCAACTGACTGTAGATCTAATAATTTCGAAAGCTGTTCAAAAAGTTGGACCCACCCTTCAGGTGGTCTCTGGATATGACACAAAACGGAAAGCCATTCATTCAATCGTTGGGCTGACTGATTTGGAACGCGGCACTGCAAACCGGTAGAGCTAATGATCATTTCCATTATAAAGCCTTAGTGCGTTTTAGACAACGATTGACGGAACAGCGAAGCGATCATCTATACTCAAAACGGCAACGTCGTATCTACGACAAGACAGCATTTGGTAAAACCATCCTGAATATCGAATGAAAAGGAACGTCATAAAAATTGCCCTCCAACAAAATCTGGTCATGAAATCATGCTTTGTCTCCGCTGCCAAGCAAGCTATGTTATAAGTGTCATCGTTCGATCGACAGAATATTTTCCGGAAGCACAGATCAAAACTCCTAAACCAGGGCAATCGATAAAACGATCATTTTCAAATGGCTTTATGCCCGTTGTCATTTTGGTATCCGTTCAACATACGAAACAGAAAGGTGGTTACTGAATAAATTCCACGCAAATGGGAACTGGCCAACAAAATCACAGCTGGCTGAAGACAGAATTAGCGTTACAAAAGGAGAAACAACGTAATAAGCTGTTATAAAAATTTTTCTCAATTCAGTGCTCGGTTAGTAATGTTATCACTTCTCGACCGATTTCATTCCAGGCAGATGTTCTAGTTTAATATACAAGCGTGTCGCTAACGAAACAGCTGACACATCTTAAAGCCAATAAAGTATATTAATGGTGCAGTAAGAATAACCTGCCTCCTACGGTTCAGTGATAGTTATGAACTTCAGCTTGAGGCTCACTCAACCTCAACATTGCTCACAGAAGCCCGGATGAGGAATAATCATTGCACATGATGCCTGCGACATGAACAGATTAATTCACTCAAAGGTTAAGCGACTAATATCTGAATCTAAACGAGAAGCACTAGACGAGAAATGGATCTTCAAAATATGAAAATTTATGCATATGCTCATGTAACGATTTATTTACATATAAGGGCACAAATCGATTCAGCTGACTGGAGCTTTCAACCGTCTTCAACAAGCAAGGGAACCCGCTCGTTCTTACAAGAAGCTTTATGCACAAATGTCGGTGCCAGACTGTGTGGCAATAACAGTCTTGTCAAAGAGGTGGGCCCTTATCGTCATCGTCGTAGCACTGGTCATCTTCCAGAGGTAGCTATAAATGGTCCATTTGTTTTTATCCATTATTTCGAAATGGTTTAACTTTGAAAGTCCTTTCTGTAGGCTAATCAGTGTATTAGACATTTCCAGTCACTCATAATCCTTTTTCATATATGGTCTGCATTCGGAAGACTCGCAACAGCCCATTTTGGAAAATATTGTTTGTCGTAGCCACGTGACATGCTAAAGCGAAATCTCTAAGTTACCAAGTCATAATATAATGTTGGACCGGCTGGCAAATAAGTAATAAGTGACTTCTTATTAACTTTCTCAGTGTTTCTTGGCCGGCGAACGCTCGTTTGCTGCCTCGGATCGCATGTACTCAGGAACTCTGACTCTCAGTCTGCAATGGCCTTTACGTCTGACTAATGGATATACTACAAATCAGGAAGTCCATCTGGTATAGCCAATATTTTGCGTCTTTAAGCGTAGTCCGATCTCTCACCTCAGTTTTTAGTGATTTTAGCTTCCGTTTTGACTTGAAGAAAACTCTAATGTTCGCTAACTTAATAATCCGCCTAAGCGAATTAGATAAATGCGACGAGGAACATGAGTTTTGCCACAGCAGCAAATATCGTAAAATGTTAATTAATCAATCACTTATTCGCTCAATCAATCAAAAGTTTCACTTTCAACACTCTGGCATTACAACTGGTTGTAAATGTGCCGGCCGAGTTTCGCCAGTTTCAAAAGCGAAGCGAAACAAAACAACATAACACAACAAAGCCAGTGAACAGGAAACTGCTAAAGAAAGAAAACTACTACTCACCAGACAGCTTATGGCCATAGGCGACGACCGACATCAACACAAACCAGCAATTCAGCTGCTTCATCATGCATCAGCAAAACGATGCATCAACTGACACTCCATTGTCAAAATCGAAAGATCAGTGGCTGAGAGCATCCTAAAACTTAAATAACATCAACTTCTATAAAGATAAAGAAAAAGACAGAGACAGACCACAAGTGCGACGCTATTCACTAAACACTCAAACCGATCACTGTGTAGAAAAAAACTTTCGCAACGTACGGCTGAATGCTGAC